TTTGATAAATAATTCGTTCTTATTGCGAAATAGGAGCACTATTTATCAATTTGTAATAAAAGACGTGAGGAAATTCTGTCTTTTTTAAAGACAAACATTTTTGAGGCGAAATACCCAAAAAGAAGTTTGTAAAAAATAGTTTGTTCTAATCAGACCGATGGAGGATGCAAGTTTTCCAACAAAACTTCAGAATAGTATGAGTTGGCTAAAGCGCTTTCAATTTAAAAAAATGAATAAGAATGTACATTGAAAGTATAATAGTGAGAGTTGTTGAAACAATAAACATTTTTTTCGGGAATTTTCAACAGATTTTCCAATCCAAATGAGTTTAATTGAATTTTTCGATACTATCAGACTGATGTGTGTGTTAAAGTGGTATAAATTCAGTAAAATGAAGTAGAAAAGCCATTGCGTGTTTGATGCTGAAGTTTTGCTGAGCAAAATAATTTTTTTCAACGATTTTTCAATATTGGACATTTTAATTTAATTATTTTGTACTATTTGCCTGATGAAGGAAGCAAATTTCCTAACAACCAGAATTGTGTTTGAAAAGCCCCAAAAGGCTGAAATTAAATGTGTGATTCTATTAGAGTGATGAAGGATGAAAGTTTTATTACAACAATTTAGTAGCAAAACATTAATAAATTCAAAGTAATTTCCATTTGCCCAAAATTCAAGCATGTTTCTCAGGCCACCTTCTGCACCTACAGAGTTTCGTTTTATTTTCATTCAACTGCCATCATCAGGCTTTGGCTAGGAGAAGTTCAACAGCAGATTCAGTTCATTGCGGTTGATTCTATGTGTTAAATCCCAAATCGGTTCTGCAAATGGGAACAACCACGCCTACCTGACGTCCACCTACAGCCGGTTCATGTAGAAGACCGCAGTATACGTTGCAGCACAAAGCTGTTGAGAGATCCATTTCGTAAATGCGCGTTCGCAAAGCCGCATCACGAAACGCGGATTTTGTTACTCCGCTTTTCAGTGCGATTAGCAGCTTGGTGACAATGTGAAGTTAATTAGGCGTGAACCCTTCAGTCTCTTTGTTAGTCGGCTGTTTTGTTGTTCAAGTGATAGTCGCAAGTTGGGCCCCCCGTCAGCCAAAAAACACCGGTGTAGCAAGCTAATGAAGTTTTTTTCATGTTAGTTTCCTTGGCCTGAAGATGCTTGCCAATTTTTCCTTCTAGCTTTATTCTATGGCTTTTAGCATTCCCTACATATGTTTTAGCCTTCTTTATCTAAAAATGAACACAAGCTTGTGTGTGAAAATCATCCACTGAGCCTGGTTTTAGTGGCAAAAAACGAATTAACTAATTACAATGTTCAACTGATTAATTCCAGTTGCACAATTTATTAACCTGTCAAGTCCAACGGTTGTTTGCCAGAAATCGATTGTAATTAACCAAACAGATAGAAGACGGGAATTTTATAACAAATTTGTGCAGGGCTTTCGGTCTTTTGCGTATAAAAATTTGCCTCAATTGGGCGTTTTCCATTTTCAGTAGTGAGAATAGTGGCGTGCGTCTACTTTATCAAAGTAATTTGATTTGGAAAAACCTACGCCACTTTCTAATTAAAATAGCGTGGATTAAATTGCACCCTAAATGCCTCATTCTTTGATAAAAATGTGCGATTTTTTGCTTTTCGGCTGATTAGAATCAGCTCCTTCCATTGAAACGAAAAATACCAAAAACTTTTCGAGAGAGAATTTTTCTAACATCGGTGATTTGTTGAATTTGTGCAGCTCCTGGCTATGATCCTGCGGACAAACATACATTATTTATGAATTTTCCCTCGTTGCAGCTTAACTTCATCATTTTTATTGCTGCCGCATCTAACAGTGACAGTTTCTTCAAAATTCCGTTACGTGCTTGTTTTAAGCAACATCGCTTTTAGTGTTTAGTTCTTCGTTTGCTTTTGTTCGCCTTCAATAACTTCCATACTTGCTGAGAGTTTAAAAGTGTTCTTTGGAAATGAATACGGTTCAAACTCTGGGAACTGGAGGTCACAACTCCACGAAGAAGATACGAAGAGATGAGGTAAATACCGGGCACATCTGGAACTTTACCAGCTCGATGTCCCAAGGAAATCCATCGATTTCCATATCATTGTGATATTAGGGACGTTTAGAATGAGGTATAACTCAATGCTTAGCCTGGATTGTGTCAAAGAATCGGAGAGGGTATTGGGTCTCTGGAGGATAACAAGTCACTTTTTATCTGAAAAGTTCGCCCTTTCGATTTCAAGTTTGACCTGATTTTTTGCAAATTTCATTATTCTCGAAAAAGGGGCCGGGAAGTCAAGTCAGGTAACTCTGGGCGAAGTTCAGAGTCCTTCAACTTGGCAAAATAATTTAATTTATCCATGCTTTGGATGATATAGAGTGAGCAACCAAAACTTTTCTAGCGGATTTTAACTTGATTGTGATTCACCAGCTACTTCAGAGGCCCTAAAAGGACCAATTTGTCGATGAAAAAGTCTCCACAAGTGCACGATGTTCTCCCAAATTTCAGATTTTTGTCAGAGTAATTAATTAAGGGTTTAAAATCGACGTTTAGCCTCATTTGCGCTTCATTTCTATTTTAAAATTTTGCGTTTTCTAAGCCAAAGGTCTTGAAATTTAAAGTTTCCACCATCGCTAGAAGACACTTGCCTGAAAACTTTTTGAAAGTTTCATGAGAATCTCTCAAATTTCTGAACTTTTCCAGCATAGTAAGACCTGGGCTCAAAATCGATGTTTTCCTTCACTTGCGCTCTCTCTTTTAAAATTTTCCATTTTCCAAATCAAAACATGTCGCAACTTGAAATTTACGTCATGGTTAGGTGACGCTTTTCTGAAAAGATGCTAAAAGTTTCATTAAAATCTCTCAAATTTTTAAATTTTACCAACGTAGGAAAACCTCGACTCAAAATCGCTGTTTTGCTTCACTTGCGCTCTCTGTTTGAAAATTTCGTGCTTTCCAGATTAAAGTA